TAAACTAGAATTTATGGTTAGGTTTGGAAAGGTGAATATGAAAGTTGGTTATATCTTTGGCGAAGAAGAGTTTCTTCATCAAATCATCAGAATAGACTGAATTAAAATCGCTTGTAATTGACGCATAAAATACACTAGCAACCTGATCAGTAATTCAGTGCATGTCACATGACCGAGAGCAATGTAGTGTTACGACATACACAAAATGACATCTCTATAGCTGTATTGGCTTGCTAGGTGGCAAAAATAGTTGCATATTTCAAATGGTGCTAGTGAGCATTGTTAAAACTACAATTTCAAACATTGATTTTAATGGCAGGTGAACACACACCCAACTAAGGAAACTGGATCAGTACAATTGTCCTATTCTATTAGTAGGCTTGCGTGAACTAAGTCAGATAAATACTCGGAATAATTGCAATGCTCAAATGGTTTTACATTGTAAGGTCTTTTTACAGCTTTTTTTCGATGAGAAAGAAAGAAAAGGAAAAGAATAACCACAAAGAGAAAAGAAATCCTTTAAAAATATCTTGTGAAAAAGTCGGGTGGCCAGTCAAGATGGAAAACTTGGTTGTGTTCTTTTGATAAACAATAAACGTTTTAAAGTTTATTTTTTTTAAATGTGATTTTTAGTTTACTATTTTAACCAGTCATTTTCCTATTTGCTTTCTGAAATCAAAGTTAGGATGCTTGTCTCCGTTGGTAGTTGCATAATTAAAACAAAGAAAAAACTTGTAATTCCAACGAATGATTTTTTTTTAATGGAAATATTTCTGCTAGCAGTTGTCAGTCTTCTTAGGCGTTTCGAACTTTGTAGTGTTTTACTCAAATTAAGGAGTGACCAATACTGGCAACTGCTAGAGCTGAAATATTTCCATTAAAAAAAAAAATGATTCGTTGGAATTACAAGTTTTTTCTTTGTTTTAATTATGCTTTCTGAAATGTTGAAAAATATCCAATCCCTCTAATTCTTTGACGAGTTGATTATGAACGATCGATGCTTAGTAAACCAACTAACCCGAATTCGATCCTCGGTGGATGTAGTAAAACTGCATAGATTTTATCAAGCATTTCTTCTTAAAAGAAATAACATGAACTTAATTGTAAATAATTCCAATGACTGTAATACATTTGAATATAGCACAAAACCACGGAGCTCGTGGCAAGGCATGAAATCACTAAACTGGTCAGGTGCCTAGTTGCCATATTGACAGAATTTCGCTTCGATTCTCTTTTTATTAAATTGACATTGTTTTACACATCGAAGACTACAATATTATTGTACATATATCTTTGTCATTTTGCCAGTTTTTTTCCTATCAAAATAAAACTAATAATAGATCAGGAGAAAACTAAAAACTCATTCTATGATGAATCGAAATAAAATGATGTGTTGTAAATATTTATCCGCTTAACATTATTTGAAATAAAAATAATCTTACACTCGGAAGGAAGAAGTCTATAGTATGTCCCTCCACAGAAACGCGATACTTAACGTTTAATTTTTAAGGAAAAATCTTTCTTAGAGCTTTTATTTTAGTTTTAATTTCAAACTGATAAATAAATGCAATATTTCCAATAAAGAAAATACTATGCTGTATTTGAAAACTAATTTAAATTGATTGGAAGGAATTTTCATTTTTAAATTTCTAAAATCTTTCAATTTGGCGCCATTTTTAGCAAACAGTTAATAAAAATGTAAAACTCTTTAAAAATCATCCAAAATAAAATATACTTTTCTTTTACTTTATTTGAGGAATATTAGCTGATTTTAAATTTTAATTAATCTGATTTGAAACAAAAATTATTTACTTTTAAGTTTAAAATATCACAGAAATGCATTTTTACAAATCTTGTAAAAATTCATTTTTAATTTCATTCAAATTTTTTTCTTAAGACAATACTGTCCTTAATATATATTATTCATAAAAGCAATGGAAAGCTTCTCTAATCAAACCTCTTAGTTTTATTGCATTTTTAAGATTCAGAGCAGATGTAAAAAAACAAAACTTGATTTGTATGCCCCAAAGAGTTCTGCTTTTAACTAATATATATATATATTCACTAACAATTATCTCGACGAATTTCTCGAATTTTCATAAAATTAAGTAATATATATTTTACCAACATTTTCTAAATAAGAGCTATTTCTAAAATAATTCCATTCAATTGTTAACAAGTCCTGAAAGTTTCATTAAAATCCGACAATTTTATTTTTGTAACAATTTCTAAATTAATGTTTCTTTTGCCGCAAAAAAAAGTTAAAATTTGCTATGCTAATTTATGATACATCCGCTGACGCAAGAAAAAAAAAATTAATCAAAATTTCGAATGTTCTAAAAAGGATTAAAAATTTAAACATTCAAGCTATACTTTGGTCTTTCCTCTAAATAACAAAAATTTCGACGATAAAACTGTTTACATTAAGATTGGAGCATTTTTTCATCATGGCATACTAATATTTTAGCAATTTTGGAGATGACAATTGGCTGAAAATGAAATCCTGTGCGATAAAACAGACCAAAATAAATTAAACATTTTAAATTAGTTCTTTATCTCCTATTAAAAGCATTGAGGATGCCATCAGAAAAATTAACTTACAGGTGACAAAAACTAAAAATTGTTTTTTCAAATTATAAATTCGATTAAACTAACATTAAACTAAAGACAAATTAAGCTCTGTAGACATTGGAAGAAGATTTTGTAGATAAGTGTTCGTGTTTTCAATTCTTATGTCTTTGTTCGAAAGTTTGATAGGTGACCAGCTACTCTCGCTAATACCACTTTAAAAATCTGCCTAATAACAATAAAAATTTAAAAGAGAGGTTATGTAGGTTGTCATTTCCTTATAGTTTTCCATTACAAAAACAATTCTATGATGTCATCGGTCAAATGACAATAAAAGCAATTCTCTGCTCCTCCTTACCATATCTAATGTCTTGCAAATAAACAGTGAAATGAAAACTAAATAAATTTCAATTTCGAGTTATCTATTTTGGCTTGATATCCATTTACCAGGTACACACACGGTTATCGAGGCAAGCAACTTGAACATCAGTTGAGTTGACTAAATAGAATTGATAACCTAGGTACGATGCTGATAATTACGGTGAAGAACGACTTCAAAGAAAAATAACATAAGATAACCTCCACCCATTGTGCTCGATTTGCCCTCAATAAGCAATTATAATTCAACCTAATGTATTCTTTTATGATTGTATTTTAGTCAGTATTATTGTAATTTGTTTTATTCAAGTCGTTGTCTACCTCCACTTTGACTGTGGACTCGGTAACGGTGAAGTAAAGCATCTCTACTTTTATGCAAAAAAGTAAAAATTACTAAAAATCTGTTTTGGGCGCCTCAACATTACGTATTAAGGATAGTGAGCTAGTCTGGTTGCTCATTAATAATGAATACAGAGTTCGGTCCTCACCGGCTGCTTCGTACTTGCGTCGATGTGCCAAAAAACCCAAGCTTAGTAAATAACCATAAGGGAAGAAAAATTGCACAGCAGAGTGTACTAATTTTAGCTTATCACTTGAGTTACTATATATATATATATATATATATATACATACATATACACACACGAGTCAATCTTGATACCATACAATGAAATATTGGGGTACGGGTTATTGCTCATGACTGTTTAAGTAGAGATCTTTGGTATCCAATCAAGTAGTGAAAAGGAAAACTTTTTTGATTAATTTCGAGAAACTAATAATTTGGATTTTTTCCCACTTTCAAGTTTCATGCACCTAAATTTGATCGCGCCAGTTTGTTCTTACACACACACAAAAAAAGAAAAAAAAACCCTAACTAGATTTTATTTTAAGAGTCGCCGCTAAGAGCGGAAGCAAGAGATACTTACGTTTGTTTATAAATTTAAACAGCACACAGATAAAGGCTTTAAATGATTATTATATCTCCAAAGTCAAGTGATGTTCGCTTCTTGGACTTCCCCCTAAAGAAATCTGACGGTATAGGAAGTGTCCTTCAGATTTGCGGTCGATTTAATTATTGAAGAAAGGAAAAAAAAAAAAAAAAATACAAGACCCAGTCCAAATCAGTTACATGAAATTTAGCTATGAAAGCAGGAAATCAGCAGGCTGACGAGTGATAAAGGCATTTAGGAAATTTCTGGTTTTATTTTTATTTTTTTTTTGCTTCGCGAGGAAGTCTAGGTTATCAAAAGACTAGACGCCAAGTTTTTATAATTTTTATAAACAATGACTAGAAACCCGAAAAATCATTACAGTATCGAACTAAGTTCAACTTCATCTATAGACCAACCGGTGCACAATTCTGAGAGATATATCACCCCCCCCCTTTATTTCGGCCCCAGCTCCCAAAGTTAACTTTGGACTAGTTAAAATAAATCAAGTCCTTTTGTAGTACAGGTTATTAAGCAAGTTTATCATTTTTATTTCACAAAATATGCAACACGCCTTTGCTTCACAATTCAAGGGGTTAATTCTTAATTTCAAAATGCAAGTGATTATATATAACAACCCAGTGTATTATTAGATAATTAACCAAGGAAAAATAAAACTTGAAATAGTGAAAAAAGTAATCTAAAATTGAGAAATACCAAGTTACAGGTCATAGAGTTCAACTCGAACCTCCAGTAGTTTTGTAACTAAGCGATCCTGACTGGATCAATGAAATTTCCAATGCCATTATCTTAACTCAGCCATTGTGATACAGAGAAGCAGAGAAAGGTTCAAGATTCTAATTATGGACAGAGAGAGAAAAAAAAAAAAAAAAAAAAAAACAAAAAACACTAAAGCATTCAAATTCAATAAACCTCATGGAGGAAGCTTTAAATAGGAGACAATTTTCAATCAGCGTAAATTCGTCTATTTAAAACTTCCTTTGATAAGGTCCACAAGAAATGTTAGCCAAGAGTTCATAAAGATTTTCTTTTTTTTAAAGGCTGTCAACAGCAACCAGTTTCCTTTATTCAGCCGAGGATACAAATCAAGACCACATACAATATCTATTCAGCACATTCAGAAATGGGAGACGAAATATGTTGGCTGCCCTGAATAGTCAGTAGCAGAAGAGGAGGTTGAGAGTAGCTAGTACTCTTAGGCTTTTCATAAGAGGCAGAAAATCCTTTTTGAAGGAGGGAGGGAAGGTCTGATGAAAGAACTTTAACACTAGGGACCTTGACAAGCACCTCACATACCAACAGACCAAGCCAACAATCTGAATAGATGGCACAAGATTTTATTCATATTCCCCCCATAAATTTTCAAATTTTTTTTTATTTTCAAAATTACCCAACCCCCTCCCTACCAATGAATTCTGAGTTGTATCAGAGTGGAAGAGATAGAATGAGTTGACAGTTCAGAAAGACAAGATAGAATGAGACCAGATAGATAGCGTCCATTTTTTCCATTTATGCCACATCTTCCTCTTCCTCATCCATTTCTGCTTCCTCCTCAGCTGTAGCATCTTGATATTGCTGGTATTCAGAGATCAAATCATTCATATTAGACTCGGCCTCTGTGAATTCCATTTCGTCCATACCCTCACCAGTGTACCAATGCAGGAAAGCCTTACGCCTGAACATAGCAGTAAACTGTTCAGAGATTCGCTTGAACAACTCTTGAATGGCAGTGCTGTTACCGACGAATGTAGCAGACATTTTCAGTCCACGAGGTGGTATGTCACACACTGCAGTCTTTACGTTGTTTGGAATCCATTCAACGAAATAGCTGCTGTTCTTGCTCTGAATATTCAACATTTGTTCATCAACCTCCTTCATAGACATGCGGCCACGGAAGATGGTGGCAACGGTCAAGTAACGTCCGTGTCGGGGATCACAAGCTGCCATCATATTTTTGGCATCAAACATTTGTTGAGTGAGTTCGGGAACTGACAAAGCTCTGTATTGCTGGCTACCTCGGGAGGTCAGTGGGGCGAAACCTGGCATGAAGAAGTGGAGACGCGGGAATGGTACCATATTTACGGCAAGTTTTCGCAAGTCTGCATTCAACTGTCCTGGGAACCGGAGACAAGTGGTCACGCCAGACATGGTTGCAGATACCAAATGATTCAAATCACCATATGTCGGAGTAGTTAGCTTCAGAGTACGGAAGCAGATGTCATATAGAGCTTCATTGTCTATGCAGTAAGTTTCATCCGTGTTTTCTACGAGCTGATGAATAGACAGAGTTGCGTTGTAGGGTTCGACCACAGTATCAGAGACCTGCAAGGAAAAGACGAGAACATACTAAATTCCTGAGCAAGGGTGCCATTGGTAGTTGTAGTAGTAAGCTTCTCCGGTTTGGTAGAAAACTAAACGTCGCAGCTACTACTATAACAGTACAGGTAATAATAATAATAATGATAATAACGAAGTAAATGTTACAAGTGGAAAAATTAAAGTTTAGAAAAAACAAAAAAAAAAAAACACTAAGTTTGTTAAAAGGGAAAGCGTAGAAGATCGTTTGAAATTGTCAGTAAAGTTAAATCTGGTGCATAGACATAGTGTATACTTCGAAAATATTTGAAGGCTAAGGACACTTAAGATTGGTTACAGTTGTAGTTATCAAAGTAGTCTTTTAGAGAAATATTAAAAGAGCACAAGTATAGCTAATCTAGCAGTCGCCCGATTGACGTAAGCAGGTGAGTCAAGAGCAGATTGCAAGCGTTGAGATATGGGAGCGCCTTTTTAAATCCTTTGTTCAAGGAGGCTGAAAGGAAAGACAAGATTAATCTTCGACATTAATAAACGGTACAATAGTTCTAATAAATACTAATTTAGGAAAAGCGTAGTAGGAGCGGTTTTATTGCAGACGGTCATCAAGCCGCTAGATGAATATTGGCGCGCGTGTTAACTGCTAATAGATGGTTTTCCAGATTCATCAACCAGGGCTTTCGAAGTCTAAAAAGCAGGAGATTAAATAGCTTAATTGAAGGAAAAAATTCAAGGGATGAGCTATTTAACAGTAACACAATGCATCCTGGCTTGTACGAAGCTGAATGTATAGGTTCCCTTGACTGATAGCGGGTCTCTAGTAGTTACTGAGAGGGACTAACCGGTTAACTCGGCGGGAGGTGTGTGTGTGTGTGTATGGGGGGGGGATAAGAGTATAAAAAAAAAAAAAAAATCTACGTTTTAAGACTTATGGAGAGTCAAATTGGAATTAAGTTTTAAAGGAGAGTTTTCATAGACCGTTTCCTATTTTATACAAATAAGTACAAGTGATTAAATAAATTTAACTTACCTTTGGAGAGGGAACAACAGAAAAAGTGTTCATGATTCTGTCGGGATATTCTTCACGGATTTTGCTGATAGCGAGGGTTCCCATACCAGAGCCGGTACCACCACCTAAAGAGTGAGTGAGCTGGAAGCCCTGAAGACAGTCACAGCTTTCTGCTTCTTTGCGGATTACATCCAACACAGAGTCTACGAGCTCTGCGCCTTCTGTGTAGTGTCCTTTGGCCCAGTTGTTACCAGCACCGCTCTGTCCGAATACGAAGTTATCGGGTCTAAATAGTTGACCAAAGGGACCCGAGCGAACAGAGTCCATGGTACCAGGCTCCAAGTCGACAAGAACAGCGCGAGGCACATATTTGCCTCCAGTGGCTTCGTTGTAATAAACGTTAATTCTTTCAAGTTGCAGATCACAGTCTCCGTGATAGGTTCCTGTGGGATCGATTCCATGCTCATCGGAGATAACCTCCCAAAATTTGGCTCCGATCTGGTTTCCGCACTGACCGGTTTGTACATGAACAATTTCCCTCATTTTTACTAGAAGTCGGTACACGCAACAAGCACGTTGACAGAATGTGGCCTGTGTGGTGATTTAAAAATGGCCGCATGCACCGCGCTATTTATACTCGGCGGGAGTGCCCGTTGATACCAAAACGAGGCTATCTAATTAGCATACGGAATTTGTCGATTAATACTATTTAATTATTTTTATATTTATACTCAAAATAATCATAAACTTTTATAAAAACGTACATTTATTTGGTTGAATATAAATATTTATTAAAAAAATTAAATAATGTATTTTCAGCAACTGCAAAGCGTTATCACGTGGTACAAGATGGCTGCTTAGGAGGTGTAAATGATACTCATGATTATTGATATTTTATCCTTTTGACGTCAATGTCTGAAAAAAATATCTGCATGGAACTAGATATATACAGAGAATAATTATTTACCTTTGGAACTAAGGTAATTTTATAAGATCGGTTTTATATGCATTGTGTTTTCAGCTTTTTTGTCGCAAAAAGACGATGGATTTATATTTCAATTAAATATCCTACCTAAACACTGCAGTAAACACGTTTTTTTTTATGAAATCGTAACAAAATTATTGATTGACGATTTGCTTTGCTTACTATTTCTTCATTATTTATTTTATTAGATTAACATTGCATAATGGCTTATAAAGTTGCTTGAATTATGATTTGTAGCTTTTTTATGCGATGGAGGTGAAATTCAAGGTCAGATGATTTTCAAAGCAAACACTAAAAAATTAAAAACAAACTGATTCATTTTTTTTTCTCTTGTGTCGTCTTTGTTTTTATTTGCGATTATTAATTTATTTCCGACTCTGCATTTCATAGTGCATCAACAGCATAAATATAAACATCTGGAGAAAATTCGATTATATAAATTAAATAATCTATTATTAATAATTCTTTCAAACTTTTTGTTTTCTTATGATGCAGACATGAAAAAATGTTTTGTTGATATTAACGATTCCTCTCCATATCCCGAAAAAAAATATGCGTAAAATTTTTCCGGAATTCTTTTTCTCGGCAAACAAATGAAAATGCAGTAAAAAAAGCAAAATAAATAAAATAATTTAAAAATTCTCAAAGGTTAGAAAGAAAAATGAACAAGATTTTGTTCTTTTTTTTAACTTTATTAAGACTTTTTTTGAGAATTCTAACAAATTGAACGTCTGCATCGTAATTAACAACTTCTTAATGTAGAAGTCACATTCCATTTAATTAATAAAACGCGACTTAATTTATTTTTTAGTGATTCTGGTTAATTTTCCAACTTTTCCACAAATACAGATGTGTACTATTCGAATGATTCATTTAGCAGTCTGAAGAAAAATGAGAAAAAACAATTTAAAAATCATTTTTTAAATATTTCATCTAACTTTATAAAAGATCACCAATACGTAAATTAAAAAGTGGCGACAGATAATCCATAAGTACCAAAATTTGAATTGACAACCAAAGTTTACGTGTTGTCTCTCTAAATAAATATTTATTTAGCTTAAAGCTTTTTTTTTTTTTCCTGTTTCAATTTCTAGGATGAGGAGAGGAGTTATAATTATTTAATATTTTTTATTTATTTCTAATTCAACAGAAGAATGAGAATAATCAACCCCAGGGTTTTTAGGTCCCTGACTCAAATCGACAGACACCTGACGAAGGCCGGAGCTTACAACGGCCGAAACGTGATAATGACACAGATGAGATTAGAACATTAGTCTGACTGTAAATAAATGTAAATTAATTTCTCTCGTTTAATCAAATTTAAAATGAAAACAAAAAGGGGGGGATGTTTAGAACTGATCAATCCGCCCCCTCAAAAAAATTATTTTGTAAAACTATTTTTAAACAAAATAAACCGGTTTTATTTTGTTTAAATTTTTAAAAAATTAATCAGAACAATTATCAAATTCTGAATTTGTTGAGGGGCTGCTGAAAAGTTACCGGTGCATTTTGGTTGTGGGGTGAGGCTTTGCTTGGGTAGAGAAATCTTGTGCTCTCCTGCTAAAAAATTATAAAGTATTAAAACTAGATTAAATGATGCGTTTATGAACTAAGATTGACATTTAGTTCATTTAAAATGTTCCAAAAGAATGTTGCAATGATTGCAACAATTAAGTCTGATTGAGAGAATAATTATTAATGATAATTATCAATGTCCTAGTTTTAACCATCCTCCCAATGTCATGTTGGAAATAGAAGTTGTTTTTTTTTTGTGTGTGTGTATGTCAGCCTTGAAGCTTAAAGTGCATTTGGTCATAAAAAATGCTTCCTTATAAATGAACTAAAGCCCATAGAAAAATTGAAAACTGTCCCTGTTTAAGACTTGGAAATTAGATTATATATTTTTAATTATTTTTCAATTGACCATTAAAATGGCATCAGTCTAATGTTTCATCACTTCCTAACAACAAAAAATAATTTTTATATGCCTTTCCATTCAGACCAGTGTGTTCATTTTCATCATTATATGCACCCTGTTTCATCTGTTGTACCTTCCATGTCTTTGTACTCAGTAAGCTTCTTGAAATTTCAAACCAAACCCTTTATTCAATCAATGGGGGTAGATTGTTCTTATTCCACTTCTCATACTTAGGGGATATATAATATCTGTTCATTCTCCCCCAGTCTTATTCACCTTTTGTTTCTCTATTTTTTTCACTGAACCAGAGTATGCAATTTTTCACTACTGTCAAACCAAGGATTGAACTGACAACTGCCAGATAATGAATGCTTTACTCCACTAGGCTATATATGTCTCTTGGGTAATCTAGTGTTGAAATTGTGGAGCCTGTGGAATAATTATTTTGTCCTTTCTTCATCAGAGGTTCCAATATGATCTTTGTTTCCATGCTTAGTCTGCTGAGAAGGTTCTTAAAGTGTGCTGGTTCTTTCAGTCATATTATTGTTCAGGGTTGTTTTTTTATGATTTAGACTTTATTCCACAGGAATCAATGACCATTCTTTTCTCTCCATATCTGATCAACCATGCCCAAGGCAATACTTATATAGTTACTGCAATGACCATGCCTGATTTTAATGTGTGTTTCTCTCTCTCTCTCTGGACAGCTTTTAAAGGTTCTTTTTCTAATACTGATCATCATCTGTTGCTATGTACTTAGGTCACCACTTATAAGTTTGTTATAGGCAGTGGACAGTCCTTTTCTTGACTCTGTATAGATGGTGGAAATTAAAGTTCAGGTATTGTTTAATAAATGTTGGCTTACAATATACAGATGTTTTGAACTCATACTTTCTATGAGTTCATCCAGTAAGTCCAATTGATCTGTTTTTTAAAGGTTTTTTTTGAGTTCATTTAGTCCAACTATTTTTACATCTTCCTAATAGGGCCAGAATATGAAGGTGTCATCTATGTATCCTAAACCACCTGGTTGATTTTAGTGGTGATGTTTCTATAGCCATTTCCTCAGTGTTCCATGCATATGTTTGTTTTTATCTCTTGTAATAGCAATCTAATAGCTAAGCCTGTTGTTGATATATGTCAGAACTCAATTGGAAATGTTTGCACATGGAATGTCAACATCTTCATTAGGATATGTATTGTGACCTTTGTACGCTCTCCTAAAAGGAGGTCTAATTCTAGCTTGTCTTGAATTTTTGAGGGAACTTAATTCCAAGGTTTAGGTAGGATGACAGACACCTGAAGAAGGCCAGAAGGTAGAATGACGAAAGCATAACAACCAAGATGAATCTTCTTGTCCAAATAGTAAAACATATAATGATGATTATTCCTCATCTCAAATAATCAGACAGAAACAAGTGATGTTATTTGGACAAACTAATATTTATGTTGTTCCCACAAAAATCTGGTATAGAAGATCATATTTAAAAAGACGTCCTCTTTGTGATGAAGTCTGAATAAGAAACATAGAATGCAGCTGGAGAGTGAAAAAATCAGCATACATCTATTTATATTGAATAAATACATGTCGGACCAATGTGGATTTTATTATGTTATTGCTTTTGCTGCTCAAAAGAAAACTGTTATTGTATTCTTTACTTAGCAAAGGAAGGAATTAAAAACTCCTGCCTTGCATATAAATTATGGAATAACTTGTATTGGCTGTGTTGCTTATTTTGCTACATTTATCTGGTTTAGAAAAAAAAAAGATACCCTTCTTTTTCGTTTGGATATTTGAAAAGGGATATGTATTAATTGATTGTGGAACTAATGCAAGGAATAAGTTTAGTTTTATGATTGACTTCTCTTAAAATGGTAGATAAATCAGCGAAAACCATTATTTTAATTGATGTGCTTGTGAAGTTAAGAATTAGTGTCTGATTTGGGGCATAAATGAATCTGAAAATATGCAAGATAAATTTATATAAAATGGTTATTTTATATCATAAATAAAGCAGTACTTGATAGTATATATAAGTCACTTAAAACTAATGTGTTTAATACACATTAGGTTAATTTTAGAATTAATTTTCAGATTTAGAAAATCCAGGGCAGTTGTTTCTACAGCATTTTCATTATAATTTGGCAATTACTTTCCAATATTTATTTGATACAGTTGGGTGAAGTCAAATATGGCAACTCCTTTGAGGAAAGTAGTGATTAAATTAAACAGAAGTCATCAACAATTAAAACAAATATTAATAAAAGACTTTTTGATGACAACTTAATTACTGAAAATTTATCAGCTTTTTACATATCAAGTTTATAAACAAAGGTTAAATAAAGCAGCAGATATTGAAGCCACTTTTAGACTATTCTCAGTTTTTGACTTATGGGTTTTTAAAAAAGTGTGGGGTGGAGAGTGGTCAAACATTAATTTGTTTCTACAGTGAAATAAAATGGTTTTAAGCAACTCTGCAGTCATGATGACATGAATTTGTGAAATTAGTTTAAAAAGTGTAGTTTCATAAAACATGTGGAGAAGCAGGTATTCATGAATTACCTACACTTTTTAGATGGAAAAGATGTTATCTGATTTTAATAAGAATAATAATTCTTTTTAGATAACATTTCATTTGT